TAGTGTCAATCTTCTACTAAATAAGTACTTAATTCAATAAAATGTTAGAACTAATCCTAGAGTATAACTTTATTAATAATTTTACTCAACAATGGGGTCCAGGGCCCTTTGCTAAGGGCTGTCCGGTTCTTGTACAACCGGAGCAGGAGCTTGGTTCGCATTGCCAGCAGTAAGTCAGACTTGTTTCCGGTGCATGTTGGACTCCAGCAGGGCTGCCCTTTGTCACTGGGTTCTATTCATTATCTTTATGGACAGAATTTCTAGATGCAGCCAGGGGCCGGAGGGAGTCCGGTTTGGGGACCACAGGATCTCGTCTCTGCTTTTTGCAGATGACAGTGTCCTGTTGGCCCCATCAAACCAGGACCTTCAGTGTGCACTGGGAAGGTTTGCAGCCAAGTGTGAAGTAGCTGGGATGAGAATCAGCACCTTCAAGTCCGAGGCCATGGTTCTCAGTCAGAAAAGGGTGGCTTGTTCCCTTCAGGTTGGTGGAGAGCTCCTTCCTCAAGTGGAGGAGTTCAAGTATCTTGGGGTCTTGTTCATGAGTGAGGGAAGGATGGTGCGGGAGATTGACAGGCGGATCAGTGCAGCTTCTGCAGTAAAGCGGTCGATGTACTGGTCTGTCATGGTGAAGAAGGAGCTAAGCTGCAAGGCAAAGCTCTCGATTTACTGGTCGATCTATGTTCCTACTCTCTCCTATGGTCATGAGCTTTGGGTCATGATCAAAAGGGCAAGATCTCGGATACAGGTGGCCAAAATGAGCTTTCTCCGCAGGGTGGCTGGGCATACCTTTAGAGGTAGGGTGAGGAACTCGGTCACTTGGGAGGAGCTCAGAGTAGAACCGCTGCTCCTCCATATCGACAGGGGCCAGCTGAGGTGGCTTGGGCATCTGTTTCGGATGCCTCCTGGGTGCTTTCCTAGGGAGGTTCCGGGCATGTCCCACCAGGAAGAGGCCCCGGGGAAGATCTAGGACACACTGGAGGGACTGTGTCTCTCGGCTTGCCTGGGAACCCCTTGGCATTCCCTTGGAGGAGCTGGAGGAAGTGTCTGGAGAGAGGGAAGTCTGGGCATCTCTGCTTAGACTGCTGCCCCTGCGACCCAGTTCCAGATAAGTGGAGGAAAATGGATGGATGGATGGACTTGACATGATCTGTGTTTTCCATATTTGTGGTAAACAAGGATGAATGATATGTCATGTCCTGTGCTCAGCTGTGTGTGAGTGAGAGAGAGAGGAGCACACCCCCTCTCTCTTCAAAGCAGAGACCGACACAGAATAAAATACAGTGAAGCAAAATAGAGCAGTCAGCATCAGCCCGTAGCATGATAGTTAAGGGAAGCATGGGGTGTACTGCTCCTTACGTTCCTTAAGTTCTTTACGTTATGTAGAAACACAGCTATAATGTGCAGTCAGATTCAGCTGCAACATGTCAAATTGTGCATCAAATCCTTCCCAGTTTCTTTTGTCATCATATCTGGGGTTTTCATTGTGGGTAGGAAAACACTGGCAAATGGCTCACCTTAGCTGATCCTGGTCATGCTTCCAACACCAGCTGGATTTTTAGTAGTACACTTATCCTTGTGGCTAAAACAGCTCAAGCCAACCTCTGCAACAGTTTTCATCACCATTTCTTCCACTCGTTCTCTATGCTCTGCTGCTCGCCATGCCTAAGTGGTGCCGTAGTCTGTCTGTTCCTCAATCTCCACCTCCTGCTTGACTCAACATACTCACCAATTTCAATGCAGTGCAGCTGACCCTCACTATCTGAGTATGGCATCTATAAATTGCAGTATAGTGGTGGAGTTTCCCTCTTTACTTCTCACTGGTTGGATTTGCTGACCTTGGAGCTACTTGAAAGGGAGTGATTTTTCAACTATTCCATGGGACTTAACAATAAGTTAAAAAAAAACACATGTTGCATGTCTGTTAAGTCCTTGTTTCTGTAGAGAATTGTCGTAAGGCTGGAGAAGTTAACTATGACCTGTCCAGGGTGTACCCCGCCTTCGCCCGATTGCCGGCCAGGATTGGGGTTTCTCAATTACACACTTTGTTTAGAGGGTTACAAATCTCTTTTCATAGGTACATATACTGTTGCTTACCAGTCTATGGAGGAGAAATTCCAATGAATTAATGCTGTTGTGGTTATTGTGCTGTCCACTTTTGAGGCAACAGCAGCAGCAAGATGTGTGTGTATTCATGAACTATCCTCTTGTTTTTAGGGAGAGGCTCTCTGGTTTTATCATTCTGAAATATTTACAGACTATTTGGAGTTATGATGGGTGCAAAGATAATTTAGACATACCAAAGATTAAACATTAAATGGCTGGAAATGAGCATGCCATTTAATTATAATTAAAGAGCAGGCTCTTTAATTATAATTCCCCAACACAGTTTGAAAACATTTGAACACCAACATGTGACTCAATATAATTGTTAACGTTATAGAGGCATTCTGGTTAGTACTTTTATTTAAAAACGACTTCTTCGAGCACTCCTCAAACCTTCAGTTGACGGACTAATTATTGCAGCGGAAGAAAAGGTTTAACGCTCGTCTCCGCGGAAGGATAGAATATGTTGCAGTAACGAGGTAATAGTTTTCAGTGTTGTGCAAGATGAGGGCAGGCGTGTTAGACCTGCTGTTTGTTATGATGTGAGGTACCAGAGCAGTACAGTGATTACACATTGTACAGTTTTATGTTAGCAGCGAACGTACAAGTATCTTTACGGATGTACATTTAACCGAAGGGGACAACTAATCGCAGTGCTAACGTTAGCTGTTTTTTCCAGGCTTAACGACGAAGGAAACAACGAAGTGTTGTTATCCACACTCATGAAATTAATACTCGCTGGGGAAACATCCGTCTTTCTCGATTTGTATCTTATGGACTGGGACGTTTTGTCGAAGAAGACAGATAATACGGATTAATGCCTTCAGATAAACAACAGTGTTGTGTTGATATTTGTGTAGCATCTTTACAGATTTATGCTAACATTGAATGTGTAACGTTCCTAGCTCGCTGATGTTGCTTAGGTTTATGGGTTGCTATAGTTTGTATATTTTAGATAGAGGCAGGTTAAATTATTCAGCATCACCAAACCAGGTAAATGTTATTTACATTCTATTGTTTTCATGATTGCAAAGACCTGCTGTAGGCAGCAGCTATGACGATAGGTGTAGCCACAGGGTTATATCACTGTCAGGCTAACAGATAGCTCAGCGTCTGCAGCTGCTTCCGACTTTGCATGGTCATGTCTAGCAGGCTTGGCATCATGTAGCCTATCCGTCTGAACAGGAAAGGTGACTGGGGACACAGTGCGTTTAGGCAGCCTCGTTGGAGAGAAATGCAAAGCTAGGTTGCAGTTATCCAACAGGATCAAAGGCTGACAGCTAGCACTGATACAGTTTAGCTCAGGATTGTTGCTAACCATGTTCAAAGCCGTCTGTTCTGTGTGATATTACAAACATCCCGACCTAATCAGAGGGCACGCGAATACATCATGTCCTGAAGGCTTCTCTTATTTATGCAATAAGGTTGATCAGAGCAGCCTGTCATGCAATAGACCCGCAGTGAAAGAAGCAGCATCACCAGGACTGAGTAGATAAATTGCTCCAGGATTATTTTCTGAAGAGAAGGTTATCCACCAGTGCCTAGCATCAGCTGGCCTGTCAGCCCATTATAATGGAGACCGTGGGAGATTTTGAGTACAGCAGAAAAGACTTGGTTGGACATGGAGCCTTTGCTGTGGTATTCAAAGGAAGACACAGGAAGGTAAATAAATTGCCTGCAGTATTTTCCTCCCCTTCTCCATCTTCTCTTGCAGGAAAAAAGGGGGCAACACAGCAGCTTCATTTGTAAATGTGGGTCAGTTCATGGCAGCACACAATATTCTGCAGCAGTGTATATGGTCTGTCACCTTTTTTGGGTGATGATATTTACATCTGCTTTCATGACTAAACATGTAGATTGGGTGTGATGTAATGTGCAGACAGGTAATTTCAGTGGTATTTCATTAAGTTAATGTTACTTGATTAACTATGTATATGTCATTTGATTCATTCATGAAATAGATGAGTCAGGCGACTGACTTGCTGACGTACTGAGTCACGAGGGAGGATGGAGTGCAGTGTTTTTCCTTTGCCTTTATAAGGATACACACCTTCTTTATGTAAGAACTGCACACGGTTTATTCATACTGATGCATTTAAACCTATCGGATTATGAACATAATTTTCAGAAATTAGGTGTATTCTTTTAAGTTTTACTGGAATGTGGTTTTCTGTCACAGAAGGACACTAACATAGTGCCTTTGTTTGTGTATGTGTGACAGAGATGCAGGAGATGGTATCATGGTGCCCCATTGCTACTGGCCTGAAACGGATGGCCCTGAATTCTTCAATAAAAACTACATTAGAGCATCCCCATGCTCCCTGCTGTAGCCTGAACATAGTTAGCTACTATCTTTCTCTATATTAATCAATAACTACCTCAGAGCCTGGAAACTGAACTAAATGTAGGCCTGCAGACAATCACCTGTATCATGTTAAGAGGGACCTGGCATGTGGTCAATGTGTTTACAGTTTAAGTCCTGCCATCTGCATCCCATTTAGCCTATTATAGGAAGGTTTCCACATCTATGACACAGGAAGGTTAGAGCCATCTGCATGCAGCAGATAAGGTAGATGGCTGTATTACTTGCGCAGTATTGGATGTTACATATGAGCTCTTGTTACACTGTAATATGAAGTGATTTTGCAGCAGGTCAGTGGAGATGAGGTAGGTCAATCAGCTAATTGCATTAGCAGTTGGGTTTTCACATATTTAACAATAACAAACAAATCAAGGCAACAAACAAGCCCAAAACAGAGAGGAAAGAAACAACAAAATTTGCATCCTCAGATTGTTGCTGCAGGCTGACAATCTGCAACTCTGCAAAAATGTAAAACAGAACTTTCAGAGTGAGTTTACATGTGGCTGAAACTAATCAAGAATTCATAAGGATGTACACTAGGGCTGCAACTAATAGTTCTTTTGATTGCTGATCAGTTTACTAAATATTTTCTCAGTCAATTAATACTATGATGTACATAATGTCAAAAGGATTTTTGTCTGAAGGTATTCAGTTTACTGTGATTGTAAAACAGAGAAAAGCAGCTGTTAACATTGTGAAGCATGTCAATATTAGATTAAACCGTCCTCTCAACTACTGTACGTTGAGTGCTACCCACTAAATATGAAGCACTAAGTAACTGCTTTAGCTAGTACTAGTGAGGGTAACAGTTCAAGTGTGGTTTCTTTCTACATAGGAAAGGTTAAACACCATCAAACTTTTCAAGTTGGGTAGCACAGAAGTGCAGTGGTTAGCACTGTTGCCTCACCGCAAGAAGCTTCCTGGTTTAAACTTTGTGGCTGACCTTTCTGTGTGGAGTTTGCATGTTCTCCCTGTGCCTGCATGGGTTTTCTCCAGGTACTCTGGCTTCCTCCCAAAGTCCAAAGACATGTAGGCCAGATTGATGGGCGACTCTAAACTGTTTGTAGGTTCGTGTGTTTTTCTGTCTCTGTGTGTCAACCCTGTGATAGGCTGCCAACCTGCCCAATCCAGGGTGTGCCACAGATGGCTGCCTCGGTTCTGTACTGGAAACAAATTCCTTGTGTGTTATAAAGGTGATTATCCTTATTATAATCAGATCTTATTTTTTCAATGATTTTCAAAGTGTCAGCCTACCCTTTTCAGGGGCTCTAATTAAATTGTGGGAAGATGAATCAATTGATTATATAGAATGCAGTCATACATGTTCTGTTAATACCAAGCATTGTATAATCCAAGTGAAGTTTTTACACAGATGCATAATTCCACAGTTAAACGTCTACCCAATCTATTGTACATAGTTTGTGGATAAGTATATTCAAACATTTTTGAGGTTTTTATGGGATTAAAATGTCAGTTTTTAATTGTTAAAGTATGATATAAAGTATGTTCATACTCCTGTGGTGTCATGGTCCTCTGCTCTCAGGCTTAGTTTTCCATTCTCTGTCACAACACCATTAGCTATCATCTTTCTGCAGTGTTGTCACTCTCCTTATTGCTCACACCCTCATAATGGACTGTGATTCATAAATGAGATCATGCATTATTCTGGAAGATGAAAGCATGCTTCTGTCTGAGACATGACTCTTAAGTAAAGGATAACCGCTTACTTTGCATTCCACAACTCTCCCTAATGTGGCACACTGCTGAGCCACTGCCCCAGCCTCCGCTTCTCTCAACCTCCGGGATTACATGCTGGGCCAATGGGGTCACTTATTTATTTATTTTTTTTAATGCATGTAATTTTGGCAGCTCAGCCACACTTGGCTGAACAGGTTGTTAGTGAGCTCGGGATGAATACCCTTCAGTTAACAAATCACTTGCAGTCTCACTCAAGTGCTGGATTCTTTGCTAGCCTCTCGGTGGTGTACACCCACAAAGAAGAACATCTTTTATTAACCTAGATGGAAAACATGTCCTTCCATATTGCTTTCTCTGGACTCTCCCAGGCTTATTTCTGTGTCCTTAGTTGGGTGTTTGTGTATGCAGCATGTGTCCTGAGAGCTGTGCAGTTCACGTGAGTGGCCTGTTTTATACCTGCTCCACAAACTCATGTGGAAACATTATAGCCCCCCCCCAAAAAATAGGTTTCTCTCCTTTCATTTAGCTTTAATGTAAGTAGGCTGTCTCCCATTCTAGCTGTCACTTGAGTGCCATGTCATTCAGTGCAATAGGCTGATCAGTCTGTTAGAAACTCAAATGACTTGGTGTTACCCGGACAGCTAAAATTTCCTTTGTCTTTCCAGACAGCTAATACACAGTGATAATGACAAAGCAATTTGGGCCAGAAGGGTTGGCTTTTAACACACACAAATGCAAAATCCCATCTAAAGTAGTCAATTCAGATAAATGTGTACAACAAAATCTTGCATCAGTCATTGTGCTAATTAGTTAGTAATGCTCTTCCTCCAGTGATTGTTGAATGTCAGTTTGAGAAATACAGGAAATTGCCAATGACATAGCAGATGTAGTAGACTGGTGACTGTACTGTACATATAAGACATATTAAATCAAAACAGTTAAATGCCAAACGGATAACTTGAAAAGAATGGCTCAGGAGCAGTACATGTACTGTACAAACCCCTATTCCAATGAAGCTGGGAGATTGTGTAAAACATAAATAAAAGCAGAATACAATTACTTGCAAATCCTTTTTGATCCATATTTGATTTAATACACCACGAAGACAAGATATTTAATGTTCAGACTGATAAACTTTGTGTTTTTGCAAATATTCACTCATTTCAACTTTGGTGTCTGCAACATGTTCCAAAAGAGCTGGGACAGGGGCAACAAAAGAGTGGGACAATTGAGGAATGCTCAAAAAATACCTGTTCGGAACATTCCACAGGTGAACAAGTTTATTGGAAACAGGTGAGCATCGTGATTGGGTATAAAAGGAGCATCCCAAAAGGCTGAGTCATTCACAAGCAAGGATGGGGCACGGTTCACCACTTTGTGAACAACTGTGTGAGAAAATATTCCAGCAGTTTAACAACGTTTCTCAATGTACAATTGCAAGGAATTTAGGTATTTCATCATCTACAGTCCGGGCGGCAAGTGGCACTGCATTAAAATCATTCTGTAAAGGAAATGACCACGTGGGCTCAGGAACACTTTGGAAAACCATTGTCAGTTAACGAAGTTCGTCGCAACATCTACAAGTGCAAGTTAAAACTCTACCATGCAAAACGAAAGCCATACATCAACAATACCCAGAAATGCCGCCGGCTCCTCTAGGCCCGAGTTCATCTGAGATGGACTGATGCAAAGTGGCAAAATGTGCTGTGGTCTGACGAGTCCACGTTTCACATTGTTTTTGAAATCATGGACGTCATGTCCTCTGGGCTAAAGAGGAAAATGACCATCCAGATTGTTATCAGTGCAAAGTTCAAAAGTTAGCGATGGTATGGGGGTGCATGGGTAACCTGCACATTTGTGAAGGCACCATTACTGCTGAAAAGTACATACAGGTTTTGGAGCAAAATATGCTGCCGTCCAAACGACATCTTTTTCAGGGATGTCCCTGCTTATTTCAGCAAGACAATGCCAAGCCACATTCTGCACGTGTTACAACAGTGTGGCTTTGTAACAAAAGAGTACTAGACTGGGCTGCCTGCAGTCCAGACCTGTCTCCCATTAAAAATGTGTGGTGCATTATGACGCACAAAATACGACAACGCAGACCCTTGACTGTTGAGCACCTGAAGTTGTACATCAAGCAAGAATGGGAAAGAATTCCACCTACAAAGCTTCAGTTGGTGTCCTCAGTTCCCAAATGCTTATTAAATGTCATTAAAAGGAAAGGTGATATAACACAGTGGTAAAAAATACCCCTGTCCCAGCTCTTTTGGAACGTGTTGTAGGCATCAAATTCAAAATGAGTGAATATTTGCAAAAACAAAGTTTTTCAGTTTGAACATTAAATATCTTGTCTTTGTGGTGTTTTCAATTAAATATGGGTCCATAGGATTTGCAAGTCATTGTATTCTGTTTTTATTTATGTTTTACACAATCTCCCAGCTTCATTGGAATTGGGGTTTGTACCACATGAATACTCGGTGTGATAAGTGTTTAACATGTCCATGGCATGCTAATTTTGCTCCTGTCCAGCCATTTAATGTTTAATCTTTGGTGCCTCTAGATTAGCTTGACACCCCTTGTAACTGCAAATAGGTTGTAATTATTTGAGACCGATAAAATCAGAGAGCCTCTTCCTAAAAACGAGAGGATAGTTAGTGAATGTTCACAACTCCTGTTGCCTGTGTTGTCGTAAATGTACAGTACAACGAACCGTGACGGCATTAATTAATATGAATTTCTCCTCCATAGCTGAATAACGGTATACTGTATGTACCGATGAAAAGAGATGTGTAACACTCTAAACAAAGCGGGTACTTGAGAAACCCCATATTTTAACTGGCACTGTGCAGACATAGTAACTTCTCCAGCCAACAAAAATTCTCTCAAACATTACTGAAACAAAGCTTCTATTAAGTCCCGCCGAATAGTGGAAACATCACTCCCTTTCAAGTAGCTCCAAGGTCAGTAAATCCAACTGGTGGTTGTTGCGTCTTCCTTCACATGACCACATACATTGCCAAAGCAGTGAAACTAATTCCAACAGGTAGCATAGCTCCGACAATAACATCATGGGTCGTTAATCTGCTTGTTAAACAGCATCACATCACAGACACAGTCACACTGGCCGCAAACAGTCAAAACAAACGGGTACTGTGTTTCAGCGGAATCCAGCATTGATGAGCTGATCACTAACTGCCGTGGATGCTTCACAGGCTGACTGCTTGTAAGTTAGACCCGGTCAGGTAAAACAGCGAGCCCCTGTACAGGAACATTTCCGGACATGCGGTAACCTCAGGCCCTGTATTTTTCTCCACATCCGCTGGTCACAGTGCAGCAGGAGGAGGTAAAATATATCCACAAAAACCGCAGTCGAAAAAGCTTGCTTTTAAAATGGTGGATGTCAGGCAAACTCACATGAACGTGCAACTGCCTGGAGATTATGACCATTCATCGAAATCTGTAAACTATCACATATGACTTAATTTTGTTAGATAAAAAGTCTCACTAGTGAGAGTTTGTGAGACTTGTATAAACCGAGTTGCTGCTGCTTAGAAGTACTAGAACATACGTACACCTCATTTTATGAGCCTTACATCACCTCTAAAATGATAATTCACCATTGTAACATTGTAGATAAGTCAGAAAACAAGGAAAAGCATGCCATAGGCTCTTTAAGCACCTTTCATATGGGGGCGATTAAAAAGAACACTGGCAAGAGTAGTTGTCAGATGAAAGCCATATACTGTATTTAAAAAAATGTTTCGTCCCCGTCTGACTCTCTCTGTTCCACAGAAGACCGACTGGGAGGTGGCAATCAAGAGCATTAATAAGAAGAACCTGTCCAAGTCGCAGATTCTTCTTGGCAAGGAAATCAAAATCTTAAAGGTGAGCATGACACTAAATAGCTTCTCACCTATCTCCTCTGTGTGCTTCAAGATGGCCGTGAGATTGATCTTGTGTGAGTCTGCGTCTTTGACAGAGAAGCCTCGGCCTCCCTAATAGAATTATCAGTGAAGGTTATGCTCATGTTAATGCATCTTGTTTTTCTGTTTCTTGTTGTTCAGGAGCTGCAGCATGAAAACATTGTGGCACTTTATGATGTCCAGGTAAGTGCATTGAGTGAGATACATTTAATGAAGAATTAAGGCATTTGTGACTTTTAGTGCTTAGTAGTATTTCAGGATTTATCTTCACTGACCACTGTTTGCTCTATTTTTGAGTGCCAGACAGGCAGGTATACATCAGACCTTGTCTGTTACAGTATATATGAGCAAGTGTTTAAAAAAAATTGAATCTAGTCAAATGAATCTCCATTCACAAATCTGATAAATATGTCAAGAGAATGAGTGTTGCTGTTGGCTAGCCCTTCAATTTAATGCTGAGTAAGAATACCTTTTGTCTGTCTCAATACAGCTGGCATATTCAGGGTCATACTTCTGCGGCAGTTCATTCTGCTCAGTTCAGTTGTAAGGGTTGTACTGTGTAACCTTGACAAATTTAGTTTGAGCTCAGCTACTTTTTCAAACCTGACAGTGCAGGGATTGAGCCAGAGTGTGCCATAGTGACAGTGACCCCCTTAAACATATTTCCCATCAGTGCAACCTCCCTGTGCCCAGTTGCATTTCATCAAATCAAAGGCAGAGTCTGTGCTGTTAAGTTCAAAGTTCAAGTTCAAAATGTTTGTCATATGCACAGTTAGGAAATGTGTTTCCCTGTACAATGAAATTCTTACTTTGCCATCCATATGAATGCCACAAAATACAAATGAAATATAAAGTAGATAAATAAGTAAGACAAAATCTAAGGCACTTTAAGCAGCAAATGCAGCAATATAATAAAAAATATATAAGAATATAACAGAGAATGTATGTTGCATGGGAGCAGCATGTGCAGCAGTCAACAGTCATTGTGCAATTATGCATGTGCGAATGTAAACAGTACATCACGTATTTCCTGGTAATAAACTCCTCAGCTGTTTAGGAGTCTGATGGCAGAGATTAAAACAATGATAAACACATGTTAAGTCTCAGTAATGTGGCTATCACTAAATATGAACTACAATAATTTAATATGGATTTCTAGATCCTGATCAATCTTCAAATTCCTTGAAGTTGACTTCAAGCAAAATACTGATTTGTAAGATGTCTGTGCAGATTCTCAGTCATCCAGGTCATAATAAGCTGAAAAAAACTGGGAGACTGGGACATCCTCTGCAGTCCTCATGGAGAGCACATAGACAGCCTCACACACTGTGTTTCAACTGGACTAGATTTCTAGGTCGAAGACGTTTCACCTCTCATCCTTACCTGTCTTTGAATCCTCCCCTGTCGACCGATGCCAATTGTCCTGGTGGGAAAGTTTGGGCAGAGATCTCAAAACAGGATTGTAGATGGATGACAAGTTGTGTCTTAGTCCACCACCCCTATTTAGTGAGGGGTGTTCTATTTTTACAAAAATAGCTTCCTTAACTCCTCTCTCAAACCAGTGATGTTCTCTGGAGAGGATCTGTAACTACCTCACAAACAGATCTCAGTTTGTCAGGCTGCGTGACTGTGTCAGACGTGGTGGTCTGTAGCACGGGGGCGCCCCAGGGGATGGTGCTTTCTCCCTTTCTGTTCACCCTCTACACATCGGACTTCAAGTACAACTCCCACTACTATCACCTACAAAAGTTCTCTGATGACACCGCCATTGTTGGATGTGTATCTGGGGGGGATGAGGGGGAATACAGGGGGGTTGTTACAGCGATGTTCTCTGGAGAGGATCTGGACTTCACTGTCCTCGAAGGACATTCTTTTGAGGACAGTGAAGTCCTATTGTTATCCTCTTATTTGCCTTCAAAGGACTGAAACACCACCGAGGGGGATAAATATCTTCGGCTCAACACCAGTCAGTGTTTTTTTTCAGCCTACTGATTTGTAATTTATTTTATTTTCATTGTTGTGTGTGTGTGTGCTACATCCATCCATCCATCCCTTTTCCTCCGCTTATCTGGAACCGAGTCGCGGGGGCAGCAGTCTAAGCAAAGATGCCCAGACTTCCCTCTCTCCAGACACTTCCTCCAGCTCCTCTGGGGGAATGCTGAGGCGTTCCCAGGCCAGCTGAGAGACATAGTCCCTCCAGCGTGTCCTGGGTCTTCCCCGGGGCCTCCTCCCGGTGGGACATGCC